CCCCGGGTCCCGGACAGCCGTCGCCCCCTCCGGAGGCACTGCCCTGCCGGGACGGCACGGACCCCAACCAGCCCGCCGAGCTTCTCGGAGAGGTGGACCGCACGGAATTTGAACAGTATCTGCACTTCGTGTGCAAGCCTGAGATGGGCCTCCCCTACCAGGGGCATGACTCCAGTGTGAATCTCCCCGACAGCCACGGGGCCATTTCCTCCGTGGTGTCCGACGCCAGCTCCGCGGTATATTACTGCAACTATCCTGACGTGTGACAGGTCCCCGATCCGCCCCAGCCTGCAGGCCAGAAGCAGTGTTACACACTTCCTGGAGGAGCGAAGGAAATCCTCAGACTCCTGGGTTATTGTTGTTGCTGTTGTTGTTGTTTTTTAAAAGGTGTCTTGGCATATAATTTATGGTAATTTATTTTGTCTGCCACTTGAACAGTTTGGGGAGGGGTGAGGTTTCATTTAAAATTTGTTCAGAGATTTGTTTCCCGTAGTTACATTGTCAAAAACCCTATTTCCAAGTTCAAGTTAACTAGCTTTGAATGTGTCCCAAAACAGCTTCCTCCATTTCCTGAAAGTTTATTGATCAAAGAAATGTTGTCCCGGGTGTGTTTTTTCTATCTTCTAAAAAATAAAATCTGGAATCCTGTTTTTTCGTTCTACTAGTACCTCTGTCACACTAGTTTTATCAAAACCCAATTTTTAAGATCAATGTTAAGTCTATTAGTTAATGTAAATTTCTCATCCTCTTGAAAAGGGTGAACATAATTTAAGGACTATATCTAAAAATAAACATTAGGATATCTAAGTTTGATGTAATTGTTTCGGGAAGGAAAAAAGAAAAGCATTCTGGAATGAGCCTACTTCATTTCAAGTAATCTTAGTTTTTAAAACGAACGGTTAATTGATATTTTCAATTCCAGTATATCACTTTAAGTAGAAGGGGATGTCCAAGTAATTTTGGTTTTCTAACCGTTGAATCATAAGCTTGACCGGCCCACAGAGGCTTTTCGGATGTTTTTATCTGTGTTCTGCCATCTCTTTACACTACACTCCTCCAACATTCAGTTTACCTAAATCTTCACATTTTTACACCTTGGGAAGTGGCGTTGCTGGGTTGAAAATAAAGGAGTCACAGAAACTAATCAAAATAAAATGTGCATTATGACAACTTTTAATACACTTTAGCATTTTATTTGAAGAATTTTTTTTTGCTTTTAGATTTAATACATACATGGACGATGGCATAAACTTAGGGGAGAATCCATGAATGGTTTGTAGCGTCCCTATCTATCACCATCATTACCTTATCAAGAAGAAACTGAGTTACAGGGTTGTGAGTAAAAGATGGGGATCAGCTCCTGTAATCAGCCATGCTAATTGCTGTGGCACGTCTCACCACATTTTACAGATTGAGGCATAAATGGAAACAGGTGACTTATAACGGGCATTTCCTGTGCCAGATGTTTGTTCAATGCCGTTCTAAACAGCTTGAGCCTCAACAAGCCTGCAGGTTTAGGTGCTATGTTTCCCATTTTGTAAGTGAGGAAAGGAGTCACCAGGCCTTCCCCTGCCACGTATATGAAGGCTTGTATTACAAGTTCTTTTGACATATTTCTCACCTGTTTTCCTCTGGACCAGGGTGTATTCATGGGCACTGGGAGAATTTACATTCTGTTGGTGGCAAACCATACAATTATCCTTAGCAGCAAGTGCTAAAGTAAAAGGAAAGGCTTGGAGGATAGCTTACAGCATTTATGTGGGAGAGATGTCTGAGCTGAAATGATTGACTGCATTCTCTTGAAAAAAGGCATGGAATATGTTTTTCAGAAGGGATTCCTGGAATGTGAAGGATAGACAGTTTCAGTGAGGAAAGATAAGTTTATTTTGTTAGGCATAACAGGCTTCCTTTAAAAAGGTTAAATTCTAACCCTTAGCTGAGGTGGGTTGTTTCTGCTTCCAGCCTGAGCTCCTTCTCCAGGGTGTCCCAAGAGTTCCCAGTAGATGAAGTGGGCAGAAGGGCTACCAGCCTAAGTTCAGGGCGGTGCTCAGACTACACTTGGCATTTTCATCATAGTCAGCCGAAGAAGACTCAGCTGTACCCTTGGCTGCCATCTGTTAACGATATTAAGACAAGTACAGAAAAGAGAAAGAAAAAGAGTTCTTAGGGGAAAGATCTAAAGTCCTGTAAATTACATCCTTAACTCCTAGGTGCGGGTGGAAAAACAGTAAGAGCTAAAATTGTTAAGATATCGTCCATGCATTTACATGGATGGAGGGATTTGTCTTCACAAATAAATTTTTTTGGGTAGAAGCATCAAGCCAATTCCTTCTCTTTCCTCAAGCATGCAGATCAAGTGACTGCAGGTAGCAGCTAGTGATTTTTTTTTAACTCCTAATTTTAATTTTTATGGGTACATAGTAGGGGTATATATTTATGGGTTACATGAGATGTTTTGATACAGATATGCAATGCATAGTAATCACATTATGTAGAATGGGATATTCATTCCCTCCAGCATTTATCCTTTGTGTTACAATCCAGTTATACTCTTACTTATTTTAAAATGTACAATTAAATTATTATTAGCTATAGTCACTCTGCTGTGCTATCAAATACTAGGTCTTATTCCTTCTATGTTCTTTTTTTTTTTTTTTTTTTGGTAGTTTTAAATTACCAAAACATTTGGTTTCCTTAAACCCTTTCTCATTTTAAAGTACCAGGATGTGGGCCCTGGTGGCAAAATTAGAAGTAGAGCTTTGGGGTCCATTACAGACCATTATAGTTTTAAAGTGAACGACAGAATGTAAAACTTCTGCCTAGGTTGAAAGACTCTATGTCATCAC